TGGAAAATTTGAGCTCTGTTGGACGGGTAGAAAATGCACAGAGTCAAACTATACTAGAGAAGCGTTTGGATTTTGTTGGCGTGAATTTTCTTTGACATCCTAGATTCACATAAACAAATTTTTTTAAAATACTCACCATTAACTGGAGATTTATGCAAAAAATCGCTTTCAATCAAAGAAATATTTAACATGCTGAAAAAGTCCGTATCTTATCAAATATGTTGATTTTGTAGTTATTTTTGTCACCTGAGTTTTTGCTAATACTATACGACTGAAACCAAAACTTTTATTGAGAAACAGAAAGAAGATTATTACTCATTATTTAAAATAAATAAATGCAAATTTGTGTTTATTATCTAAATGTCAGCGTCCTGGTCCACTGTGCACCAGTCCTCTGTTGTTCTGGACTGCATTTAGCTTCTAATGAGAGAGTGATGTGAGTGAATAAACATCTGTATACCACATAGGTAAAGAAAAAGGACGTATAACTTGAAAAACGAGGCTAAATATCGATAAATGTAAAACNCTGATGTTTTACTTAGCTAATGAATTTGCCCTTAAAACTTGAAAATAGCTGATGAATAAGTGTCTTTTGTTCACCTGTAAACGCTCTACTATATATTTGAAAAACGAGGCTAAATATCGATAAATGTAAAACAATGACTTTCTCAACACATAACACCAATCATCATCAGAAAATTAAAATAAACGAAATTGAGTTAGAAGAGGTTCTACTACATAAGCATTTAAGGATCGTTCTATTATATGGTCTATTATGGAATAATTATATTGACTATATTTTGACTCATTGTAATCAGATCCTCAATATGCCTAGGTGTAAGGCCATGAAAAATATATTCTCTCTCCACGTACTAAGTAGACTGTATAAACCTTGATTATACAAGTAATCTTATATGTCGATGTTATTTATTCAAATATAACAAATGAAAATACTAATAGAATATAATTTCGTTTCAATAGACACATTCATGGACAGGTGTTGTAGCTGATGCAATCAAGTGAATGAAAAGAGAGAGCATTTTAGCACAATTGGGATGGGATAGTGTTATTGTTGGTTGCAACAACTACCGTGTACCCTGGCAGAAAAATGTTATATGATTTGCAATTTATATTAGGACCCAATCCTATGACTCCTGATCTTTTGTTGCTATCTAGTTCTTCATCAACCGATCACGAACAAAAATGTTTAATATACAAAGCCGTCACGACTTTTATCGATGAAACAAAAAGATATCTGTAAACGTATCTTTTTATTGTATGCAAGTAACTTTCCCTTTTACATTTTCTGTTTTTTTTGTCCTTGGGCTGTATGTTTTTAGTTATTGTAGACGCTATTATGGTTCTATTGCACTTCACATTAAATAAACTATGCTAAGACCAAAAACGTGTGCCCGTATGTGTGTAATTCACGAATGCAGTCACTCGGGTACAAAAAACGAATAGATTTTCTAAGTTTGATTTTTCCAAGAAGCTCAAAGAATTTCATTTCTTTTCACTTTTTCTAAAGAGCTTGCTCTCTCAACACACACAAAAATAATTTTAAAACTTGATCAACGTCTTCAAATATATAGTAGAGCGTTTACAGGTGAACAAAAGACACTTATTCATCAGCTATTTTCAAGTTTTAAGGGCAAATTCATTAGCTAAGTAAAACATCAGATTTGTCAAAAAGGGGAAATGGTTTCTGCAAGAAAATGATCCTATATGATTTTGAACGCAAATAGTCTAGAATTATTATAAATGCTTTCTGCTTTACCTGAGAACATGCTTAAACTTCTTCAAAACCTTTTCCTGGAATTCTTCTATAAAGGATTTGATAAAAGTTCAATCTACATAAACAATATTTTCATTTTCAGAATGGCTTTACATTGCCATATTTTTGAAACGTTTGTATTTTGAAGCACAAGAAATTCTCTATCGTTCTATATGTAAGTTCTTGTTAAGAAGTTGGAACTTGGAAGTTCATGGAAAAAGCCTGAAATAGATGATGGATATCGTTGTTTTGGACAGTGATGAAATATTGTAAGAAATTTCTTTCTGAAGTTTTCCAGAAGAAGTTTTGGAAGTTTAAACAGGTTATCAGGTGAAACGCGAAGCATTTATAAGTCTTAATAATTCTAAACGATTTGCGCTCAAAATCATATTGAGCCATTTTCTTGCAGAAACTATTTCCCATCCTTTCTGTGAAAAATCTGCGCAGATTATTACTAAACATCGTTCGCAAATTTTCGTAAGTGTTTGAACGAAGTTGTTTGCTAAATATATTGAGCTATTTTGTTAACGTGAAAATATATTCAGAAGTTTCTTAAACTACAAAAATTGTGCAGATTTTTTGCACACATATTCTAAAGAATTTATCAGCTACAAATCGTATTCACATTCTGCACTGAACATGCAAGCTTCTGTTGAAGATCTAATTTAGAGTGAATGAAAGTTTCAGATTTTAAATACAAACCGTTTGATCCTTCATAGAATAGTGGCCTGACAAAAAAAATTATGATATCCTATCTGATTATAATTAAATTCTCTGGTAAGATCATATAAGATCCTATTGGTTTCTATTGTAGAAATCTTATATGATTTAGGAAACTGATATGTTTGAGATAACAAATGAGTTTCTTATATGATCCTATCGGATTTTATAGGATCAGATAAGATCTTATCTAATCCTATAATAAGATTTTATCTAATCTTCTATGATCCTATCGTAGATTTCTGGGGGTTATCATCACGTGCAAATAGTTCTACCAACTGCTGACGCTATGGAAGTACTTGGTTCAGTGGACAAAACGTGAGGAAATATTTGCGTCTTATAGATGTTGCGAATGTATCACAAGTTTAGTAAGAAAAACGAAAATAAGTGATTTTAATCGCTTCTTAATGATAATAAATAACGAAATATGTCCATATTTGTGTATGACAGCATCCGGTTTTCTTCACTATCTTTCTTACACACTCATTTTCTTTATAGAAATGATTTTGAAAAGGAGCGTGCGTACTCATGACCGATCGACTCTCCTAAACAGAAACCTCTCTTTGAGCGAGTATGCTGTCAATAGGAACAAAAGCATGCCAATATAGTTTAATAATGTTGAAGGTCGGAGGGAGAGCCCAGCCTCCGCCGATCGGATTATTGGTAGATATGTCCATTTGAAAACAAAAATATTCTCTAATATTTAGGTAAAATGAACAGCAAAAAGGTTTGAACAATAGAATAATTGTATCCGCTGTCCACCGAAAGAAAGTATTTGGACTCATTAGCTGTACGTCATATCTCAGTATACCCAGTCTCAGTGTACTAAAAAAACGAGAACACGAGCACACTTTGTTCAACAATTTTCAACAGTTACTAGAGGTCAACAGACATTCAGTTTAAATATACTCAGACCACACATTTGAATCTTTTAGTACATCAAACTGAAACAATTTACTTGATTTACTATGTGACATAAAAAATCTATACTAATAAAATAAATCTGAAATCTATAATTAATATAGATAATTTTAATTAATTGCTATTTTGTATTAATAAAAATAAATGTCCTGAAGAAAAAGAATTAACAAAATTAGTTGCATGTCAGATCAAGTGTATTGCGTGGGCTATATCTCATAAGTTGGTTGAATAAATTGGAAGAAGAAAAAAAAAGAAAAGAGCATACAGGTGCTAACATCTATGTTAAACTCTCTCTTATACTTTTGTTTTTGTATTTTTGAATAAATTTATTTGTGTTCTAATCATACTTTCGAAATATTATTGTTTCCTAACCTACACACTCATACACTTCTTGAAGGAAGCGACAAAAGTCACAGAAGAAAATATATTTTCTCTTTTTCTTTTCTAGTACTTATAGAATTTGTCATGTCAAAATATATTTCGGAAATGCCTTTAGCACTACTTTTTATTAGATTCTTTTCTTCCTTCTTTCTTTCCGGTTTTCGCCTCCATGTTATCTCTCTAACCATCTGTAATTATTTATCATCAAATAAAATAGATAAAAAAAGATTTTTAACAGCCCACGTAACTAGTTGAACATACGAAAAGAAGATCAATTTTGTTTTTTTCTCAAACAAATTCTCTCTATCATATCAAATTATTCACCGTGTAGTTTACAGAGAAAAAAAAATGTTTTAATTTTTCTCTTTTGAAACAAAAAAACTCGACTTTTTTTCTTTTTTTGTTTTGTCTTGAATTATTCTGTTTGTTATATACGGAGGAGGAAGAAATAAAAGAAAAAAAAGTCTTATTTGTCATTTTAGAAGAGAGAACGAAAAACAAACGTTCAGCACAAAGAAGGGAAAGAAAACTATGCGTAGGTTTCGGGAAAATATCTTTTTAGTATGACGTCTTTTTATGTTTTTTTCTATGAAAATTAAGTTTCTACACTTATTTGAACATAAAAATACTTTTTTTTTCTCTTATAATTTACAAGTCCAAAGATCTTTATATTTCGAAAATATATAGTTTGAGTTTACAATAACCTTAATTTCATATAGACATATACGCGTATATTTTTTGATAGGTAAGTAGAACTTGACACTTAGTTTTCCTTATATAAAACAAACATTTTAAAATCAATTATGCATCGTTGCACCAAAAGTACGCCTCTACTTTTGAATACGCTCACAGAGGATAGTGTGCGAGAATTTTTTTTAAATAAAACACACTAATAATCGTAAAGATCGTAAAGAGACGTTTTATGTATAATCATCCACATCATAATGTCACAAGTCATATTAGGTTTAAAAAAAATGTCTGTAAAACTCTTTATCAATCCTTTTTTGTTTTTTCACTGAATTAATCAGTAATACAATATTATTTTTTTCTATTTGTTTTCTTGAAATATTGATGAATCAACTTGTTATTGCGTATATTTTAACACTTGCAAAACAACACACGGATGTACACATATTTCCACTTTAAATATTTTCATATTGTCTATACTATACATTGTTTTAATTTAGATTAATTTAGATTAAAAATGAACCTTATATTTGTTGGTCTATTAGCCATCATGTGTGGTTATACTATTGCCGCACCACTTAATAAAAGTAGGTTTTACTAAGATTTTTGAATAATTCTTGAATATACATAATCAATATTTCTATGTTTAGCTGTAGATGAAAAAACAAAACAAAAAGCATCAGAAATTGCTAAACATTTATTAAAAGAGATGGCAAATGAAAAACAAAATCAAAGACCATCACCATCTAAATATCCATTATATGACGAGATAAATCATGAGCAAGCAGATGAAGATTCGAACGAAGAAGAGCAAAAACAAAAACAAATTAATAACAACAATTCAGATAATAATAATAATAATGACGAGATGAAAAATCAGAAGCAGTTTGATGAGAATGAAGAACAACATCAATATCGAGTGCCAATTGAATTTTTAGTTAATAATGATGGTAATGATAATGATGATGAGAGTGATGATGATGATGATGATAATAGTGATAACGAGCGAATGATGCTTCCTTATCCACAATGGGCAATAGAACAATTAGCTGAATATTATAGATATTATGAACCAAAAACATTGGAGGATAACGAAAATTATTTTTATCCAACTGAATCACAAGTTAATGCAAATGAACTACAACAGTATGCCAAACAAATTGCGCAGTATTTGAAAGGACGAAATGGTACGTATCCTTATATGTCGTTGATACTAATAATATTCCTCGATATGAGCAACCTAAAACGTATTGTCAACCATACCACTGAAGTAGATCGATGCTAAGAGTTAACTGTTAGATTTCATCATCATCTTTTGTTATAAGTCTAGATATATTTTTTATTTGTAGAATATCAAGAAAACGAAGCAAAAACAAGTCAAAAACGATCTGCTGTTAGCGGTGAATCGTCAGTCTCCTCATCATCAAACAACATCATGGATGACAGTATAATGCAAGCAAATAATAATGATGATAAACGCAAGAAACGTGCTAATCCAATTCGACGATGACGATTGGTGAGATATCAAACAAAATGAATACCCGGTTATCTTCTTTTATCCATTATGACTATGTGATAAAGCATTGTACTAAGTTGTCATTTTTGATGTTTGCAATTTGAAAATAGAGTGAGAGCAGCTTCCGTTCAAAACAAAAATAAAGCTCTTTAAAATGTTATTTTTCTTTTGTTGTCGTGAGTAAACTCTTAAAACCTGTATATATATACTTTTAGTATTTTATAGTCGTGTTTATTTCAGAAGAAAGAACCTTATCAATAAATCATTTATTTTTTTAATAAATACTTCCCTATATAAATAAAATTCACCAATAACCCTAGACAATTCTTTTTTGAAATTTCGGATAAGAATCTTATCCGATTGTTACCAGATTCTTATATAAGAAGTGGCACTAAAGCTGCACAAATTTCTTAAGAATCAGGTCAGAATCGAGTAAAAATCGTATAAGAATTTCATAAGGGAATTATAGGAATCCTTTATTAGATTCTTACAAGAATTATTCTCTATTCATTTCGTTCCAGTAAGACTTCCTACAAATAAATTTTTCTTCGTAAATTTTCGTTAAAGCCAAAGACTTTTAACAACGCAGTCTTATGTCTAGAACCCACTATCATAAAGAACACTATCATAAAAAAATTATATATTCCATTGTGATACATATCATTTCCATACTCAAAATACTATCACCACTCATAACAGAAGCTCAGTTGAAAAAGATATTGCGACAGAATATAAAGACGCGATGTTTATATTTAAATGTGTCCACAGTATCTCAATAGAAGGACCCATGGATTATGATGAACAATCCACCAAATTCGAACCCTGAACGGACCGGCTTTTTAAAAAGTCTATTTTTGTTCATTATTGTTTAAAACTTAAGAAAATTGCTGAGGTGACCATCGCAAGGGGTCAGAAAAAATTTTTCTATAAGAATTTCACAAGACTCTTATGAAATTCTTATAAGATTCTTACGAAATTTGTGTAACTTTCGCGCCACTTCTTATATAAGAATCTGGTAAGAATCGGATAAGATTCGTAGCAGAAGCAGATAAGAAGCTGGCAAGATCCTTATCTAATCCTTATATAAGAAGAACTGATGTCTAGGATGAGGCGAACTGAATGTTCAATCTTCAGAATATCTATAAAAAGAGAACATAAGACTAGATGCCATCAGTGCTCTGCAAAGATTGAGAGCCGAATGACTGAAACGTGAATGGGACTAGCTAGCTTTTACCTACCCTGTAAGATTAAAAATGCTCGGCAAATTTCAACGAGTACCTATAGGAATTCCTTTTCAGTTTATAGAAAATCGAATTTCCAATAATCTAGAAAATCGTCCTTGAATTTCAATACATAATTTTCCAGCCCTCCCTCTTCTTTACAACTTAAATAAGCGGCTTTAATTTAATTTCAACGAAGTTGAGGCTGTTGCAAATCGCCCTCGCAACGAAGAAGAACCGATTTGGAAAGTCGAGCGGTCGGACAGAAAAGTTCTCCAGTAAGAGTTTATATCTTCCGATCTTCGAAGTCGAAAATCAATTAAAGGCTTACTTCCGTCGATAGGACACCTTCACAATAGTTAAGGATACCAAAGGATAGTCTTTATGAATGAGACTTATCAGTTTTTTAATTTCTTTTAAAGCCAAGTGAGAATTTTTTCTTGCTGGAGTACTAGTACCAATTGAAATGTAGACGGTTTGTTGATTTTGCATCAAGGAACCTTTATTTTTGTTGTAGATTTGCAGTAAACGTTCAACCGTACATCCGCTGAATGATTTAACAACATTTCCCACATTTTCTTCCCTTGGCAAATCAGCCACTGCTATATGCTTGACTTCCAAGAAGCAACATTTTTTCAAAATCTGAAGGTGATTATACAGTAGATGTTGTAAAGTATTCAGCAGATGTACGATGACGAAAAAAAACAACAACAGAAAGAAGCCGCTGTAATATGATGTCGTAACTGAACACATTAGAAAATAGATTTTCATTTAGAAACGCAGCAAAGTCAACCGGCTTGCAGAAACGAAGTTCATACACAAAACTCAGCAAATGACCGAGTCAGTTTTTCTTCAATCGAGCCACACTTTCTAAACAAAACACTAAAAGGAGAGCTAAGCCAGGCAAAAGGAAATGATTTCTAACTCTTGCTGCACATTTTGCTGCAGAGTGAGGTTTTGGCATTGAGCCTCTGATAATAAGGAATTTCTACGAGTTAAACTATTCTTTAAATTGCTTTTCCGCGAACGCAACGTCGTGCACAGGCAAAACGAGATCGAACATTTTTTCTGAAGTACCTCGACCGAAACGTTATCCCGTACAAGGTAATCGACTGTGGAGAAGACGAATCTGCAATCGATTTTGACCGAACAAGCAATTTTTCGATTTAGTGATATAAGTATCTTTACAACTTCTTATACCGCTTCCAAAGCATTGAAACTTTTGGAAATTAATGCGAACTAATGTAAAAAAGTCTCATGTTAAATTAGTTCGCATTAACTTTTTACTGGTTAAAAATGACCCAGGTCCAAGAAAACGGTACCGTTAACGGCCCGTTAACTGGTCGTTAACGGTAAGTTAACGTGCCGTAAACGGACCGTTTTCAGAACCTAAAACTCGTAACGTTTTAGGATCTTAAATAAATCGTTTTTTCACCGTTT